GACAGACCCGTTAGTCTGTGCTAGAAGGAGCTGGCTGACAGGAAGTGTTCGTCGGTTGACGCAAACTTGTCTGAATCAATATTCTGTGTAAGCACATGTTAATTTCACGAAAAATATATTTGTCAAATCTCAAATTAAGTGAGAAAATGAAATCGTCGTGTGACCTTAATCACATTAAAGATGGATTCATCTGCCACAACGTTTGAAGCCCCTTTGGGCAGAATGTCCCGTCTGGCGGCGCTCACCTCCATGATGACGTGGACGTCGGTGGTGAGGGCCTGCACCCGGTGGAAGCTGGCCACCAGTCCGATGGGCAGGAAGCCCTCCTGGTCCATCTTCCTCCGCAGGAAGAAGTCTCGCTCCAGGTTGTCCAGGCTGAAGTAGTACTCGCTGACGGGACAAAGACAGGTTTCCATAGTTACACGTCGCCTTCAATACAGCATGATGTCCATTTAGAGTGAAACACGCCATAAAGTAGGGGATGCTTTAGGGGCGGGGCTACGGGCTGATTGACAGGTCTCCTCCATGCTGAGATCAGAGTTGTGAAAGTTTCTCTTCATTGATGTTTAGTCAGAGAAGAGACATGAAGATCTCATCCTCTCTCCAGCGCGTTCCCTCGCCCCCCCCAGATGAACTCACATCTGCCTCTTGATGTAGTCCTTCAGCATGTCCTGGTCGGCGGAGTAAAGGTCGCTGCTGCTCATGTTGTCGTAGTAGTAGGTCACCGCGGTGCCGAACTTCTGGGCCGAGGGCCCGTCCTTGCCGTCGTAGGACTTGTAGCTGTAGTGGTAGTCATAGTGGCCTTGGGGAGGGGGGGGGGGGTTACTTCAAGTTCTACTTTCACTTCTGTTACCTTAATATTCATATTTCTCGTACCTCTTCCTCCTCTCCCCCCTCTTCCTCGTCCTCGTCCTCTGCCGCGGCCGCGACCCCTGAAGCCTCCGCGGAATGGCGCCCCCTCGCTCTTCACGCTGGACACCTCGTCGTGGTCGTCATGCCACTCATACTTCTGACTGTGCCAGTCTGTGGGGGGGGGGGGGGGGACACACACAATAATACTTGTAACTTCCTCAGTAAAGCAGAAGTTTTCTTATCCCACAACTTCCTGTTGCCGAGTCACGGCCCGAGGGGGGGGGCGGGGCCTGACCTCTGAGGTCGTTCCTGGCGTTGGGGGGCAGGCGGGGGGGTTCGTTCTGGCGGCTGTTGTTCCTGGAGGCCGAACGCTCCCTGGGCCCCTCGGACTTCACCTCGATCATCAGCGGGACCCACTTGTGCTTGTTTCCTGTTGGAAGAGACGAGGCGTCAGAAAACGTCTCAGCGTTTATCGAAGCTTCCCGAGTTCAATCGTCTTTGATACAACGCTACAACTGTTTGGTTTTGGGGGGGTAGATTTATTTTTAAGAGGCAACAATAGCTTCATTTCTCAGGCTCGAGGCCCTATCGAGCCAGTTTTAAACAAGACATTTTCATGAGCAAAAGTTGGAAAACAAAAGCGATTGAATGGTCCTTTTATGACCTGGGAGCTTTGAGGACATGGTTTTATAAATGCAGCTCTAAGAAACGATGTAGTGTGAAATATGCAACACTAGAACCACCAGTAACCGTCCTGCTGCAGCACCTCAGCCGGCCTGCAGGGGGCACCAGTGACCTGCTGATCAGAGCTCCATCTGAGACCGACCACCGCACGGGCCTGTTTTTAGGAGACGTGGCTCTGCGTCTGATGACTCAGCGGGTAAAAGGAGGCGGAGCAGAAGCTGCTGATTTGGGGTCTAAAATGAGACTTTTGACGTGAACGTCTGTCTGCTTTCGTGCTGAGATCAGAGTTGTGAAGGTTTTCATCGCTCATTCAGAGAAGAGACATGAAGATCTCATCACCTCTACAGCGCGTCTGCAGCGGCACTCACGTGGATTCAAACAGCTAAAGTGGAATTAAAGTTTATTTCAGCTGAAGTCTGTTACATTAAAACAACACCAGGAGAGAAGAAAAGGTTCCTTCAGTCGGTTTGTGTCCGGAGGTGGAGACCAAGCGGAGGTTCCTTCAGCGCGCTCACTAAAGACTAAAGAGTCACAGCATTCAATGGATACTTCGTTGTATGGAAGGGGAGACGCGCAGGACGATCAGCTATGTTAGAGCTGGACTTTGTGTCAACAGCTGGCAGACAATACAAACAACAACGTCCTCAGAGGCAACGTGGACTTTAATTCATCACGCGATGAGGATCCCCAGGATGAATCCTATGACGAGCCGGGTGTATGAACGGTGATTTAAGGATGCTAACGTTAGCATGTGCTACCACTAATCATCCGTGGGGGTCACCTTTTTTCTTGGGTCCGTTCTTCTGGGAGTCGTCCTCTCCGTTTTTTTCCTCTCCGGAGTCGTCCGACTTCGCCTTCAGGTTCTCCTTGCTCTCCTCGTTGCTCTCCCTCTTCTCCTTCGCCTCCTTCTTCACAGTCGACGATGTCGCCGTAGTCTTCTTCGGAGCCTGATGACAGAGGAGAAAAATCTGTTTAGAAGACCTACTCCTCAAAAGGCAACCGAAGAACCGTCAAAGACGTCCCTTCTTGTTTCAGCAAAGGGGATCTGAAAACATCGAGTGGGTTAAAACGTACAATATTATATGTATATTATATATGAAAGGTGTTTGCATTGGGTCAGATGTTTTATTCTCATAAAGTCCGACGGACGCGGGGTCACCACGGAAACCATCGCCTCATCTTCTTCCCACAGAGACGACAGCCAAACGGCTCCGCTTGAATAAACTCGTGTCCTCGTATGTCCGGCTTACCTTTGTCGGACATACGAGTAACACGTGCGCACACACACACGCACACACAAATGCATTCATGGATTTGATGGCTGTATGATGCACACGGACACCTTTATCACAAAGGGTCTTTCTCCTGTCCGCGTCACACAAACCTGACGTACAGCAGGGCAGGTTCAGGCTAACTTTAGCACACCGAGCTAACGAGCTCGATGTCCCCTGGCGCTGCGTCTGTGCGCTCTACGTTATTTTAACTCCTTGCAGGTGAACTTACAGTGAATCTCCACGAGTCTCTGACCGGCCTGACAGGCGGCGGGCAGGACTCAGTGCGTGTCACCGCCTCGACCTGAAGAGAGGAGGGAAGAGCAGTTCAGAGACGACAATGAGGTGGAGGGTGACGCGCAGGCGCACACGCACACACACACACGCACGCACACACACACGCGCACACACACGCCTCTCTTTAGGCCTTCTAAAGCACACTTTTCCTGTGAGGAGGTGAAGACAGAAAGGAGACGGGAAGATTCCATTTTCTAATTGATTGGTTGAACGAGCTCACAAAACATCGTCTGTTCTGCATCTGATGCGTCAGGAGACAGAAGGTCTGTCTGTCATTTAAAATAAATCAAGTGTGAAAAAGAACTCGCTTGACTTTCCCACTTGCAGGAAAAACTAAATTTATCAAAAAGACTGATAATAGAAACTGTAAATATTTGTTTGCAATGATCCGTTATTCCTTTAATCAATCATATTCATATAATTTTCTCTACTCTTCTCTAAAATGTAAGACAACAGGGTGGAAGGTTTCGTCCTTGATCGTATGTATACAAATGAATAATAGAATAAAAGAGAACTATTGTATTCATTCATTCAAGGATACAGAGTCTGTTTAGTGTGAAATCTCAGGTTGAACTTTAAGAGCCCCCCCCCCCCCATTTCAGGGCGTGTTAAGAGATCCCTAAAAGGACGTTTCTTTCCAGGCCTCCATCCCATAACTACACCCCCCCACCCAAGTTATTCCTGTCTCTCATGACCCACATTCTACTGCTTGGATCCTTGCAAGCAGCAGATCCCCCCCTAAAATAGGAAGGTTACCACGGCCCCCCCAGTGACACTATCGCTCCATGATCAGGAATAGAAAGCTGCTCGGGGGGGGGGGGGGTCAACATAAACGCACTAATCTATGAGATTATGTAACTGAGTTCCACGGTCAACAAACAAACGTTAAATACGTAAACGTATAGATATATAGTTCTGTCTTCTTCGCTTTCATTTAGTAAATAATGGTCCATTTAGTCAAACAGACCATTAAGAGGGGCTGCTTTAGGGCGGGGCTACACGCTGATTGACAGGTCTCTGCTTTCGGTGACTTATACAGCACCTCTGAGTCAAAGCGTCCGTTACTCCGCCCCCTTTGCTGCTTCCATGCCGAGATCAGAGTTGTGAAAGTTTCTCTCCATTGATGTTTAGTCAGAGAAGAGACATGAAGATCTCATCACCTCTCCAGCACGTCTGCAGCTTCCGTCTGAGCTCCTCAGTTACACTTTGAATCAGTAAACCGATCCGTCCTCCCCCGAACACTCACCTGCAGGTCTTTAGTTGCCATCTCCCCGGGTGTCGGCCAGCTGTTGGCGTCTGCGAAATCTCCGACCTGAAGAAAAGACGTTATAACAAAGGCGGGATTAGCGAGAGTCCAAGACGACGTTTATCCGCGAAGAGGAATCGATCGGCGAGTGAAACAATATCTTTGGAGTCACGTCATGATCTCTACTTGGATCTACTTTCTGTTTCCATCTTTTTAACATTCAGTTGTGTCCGTTTGCATTCCAGAAGGTGTGAAGGCAGGTGCATACGCCGCCCAAGGCATGCTGGGTAAATACCTGAGCTCCCTCTGACTTCACAGCACGAGATCACGTGTATAAATACGTGATGTTATGTCGCTAAAAGCAGCGATTTAATCCTCACATGAAGAACGTTGGAACCAAGCTGCCGCCTTCATGTCGTGAACAAGTCGTCAACATGCAGAGGAAGACGCTCCGACCCGTCAAAGTAAAACTAATAAAGGTGAATGTGATTTGTTGGCTGAAATAACCACAATTCAAAATAAACAATTCACTAAAATCAATAAAATGTAGAAAAGCCCAAAAGAAGTAGAGCGTTACCTTTCCTCCTCGGCGGGCCTTGGGGGGGTTCCCCGCTCTCACCACCTTGGCCGTCCCGGTGGACTCTGGAGACAGAAAGAAGGTGGACGTTACGAGTCGGCAGACATTTTAGTGTTTGAAACCGGAACCTGCAGAACTATTAAGCATCATGTCACAGCAAAACACAATAACGTGAAGGTATTTTGTGTGTTCATTTGAACTTCTTGTTCAGAAGCTGATTCTAACAGCCTGCGTGCAAACGTCACTATAAATAACGAAGCGTTCGGGTACAGAACCACTTAACGCACATTAGCCGGTTCCAGTTGGACCAGCGGAGGATCCGGCGAAGATAAAAACGATAATTGAGCCGCCGCCGAGCTGCTGGACAATCTCCATAAGAAGCAACACACACACCTACAGAGGAGCACGGTGCAGGACAATATTAAACTAATTAAACTCAAATTGAAAAAATGAAATAATTTTTGTTAAAGAAAAACTACAATATCCTTCGGTTGTTATGGCAATGTTGTAGTTTTGATTTACAACATGCATATTAAATAGATGTGTGAATATTTGTGAAGGAGCCTGCAGAACGTGACAATCTACAGAGCAGAATACTGATTATTCACAGACTATATAATTCATCTGATTTATTCTGGCTGCAAACAGGCGGACAAACGAAGCGTTTCTTGTGCGCTTACGATACGGCACCAATCAACTGTCGAGTTCCCTAAAAGCCAAAGACGGGTGTGTGAGTCACGAGGCCAAAGATCACAAAGCATTCACAGAATAATCCATTTGAGAAGCCTGTTGAAAGGTTAAGATGCAGATGATTCACCACAAGTGTTGAACGAGTCAGAACCAAAGGAACACGTCAGGCGACGGGCCGGGCTTCCATTTGTGGATTTGGTGCTGCGCATTTCAACACGATGCACACAATCACTGTTAGAAGGTAGACAAAGTGTAAAAACACACAAGTGATCCCACACGGCGATCTGAGGAGTGAAATCAGTCGGGACGGCGAGGGTCCCGCCTCGCCCCCAAAGGAACACGTCTAACGGGACACGCCTCCAGAGGGACGGCCCAAGCGGACAACACCCCGCAGAGGGGATGAGCCCCTATCAGAGAGTCCAGACGCAACAATCAGGCAGATAAAGCAACTAGAAGGGCCACCCTAGAACTGTGTGTGTGCTCGCATGCCAGTACAACCACATAGCTTAGCATCTTCACGGAGAAGGGAGGGGCTTATCTCCATGGGAACAGTGATCAACTCAGCCATCAACGGAGGAAGAAATACACTTATTACAGCTGTATGAACACAAAATATTTTGCTGAGGTTTAAATTACAAAAAAAAAAAAAAAACATGACAGACGTGACGCAGAAATAATTGTATAATGATGCAGATTTGTAAAAAGTCTATTGTTATTTTCCCCACATGACACGATGGAGTAAAAGTCTCAACGCAGATCGCTCTTTAAGCTTTTCATTTGAAAAATGTGCAATTCTACAGTCTCTGTGTGTCAATGAAGGTTTGTGTATTGGGATAAAATGTGTGTTACCACAAACATTTATGCATCAGCCACACCCGTCACACCTCAGGGCGGCCTGCATTCCCCACGACAACAAGCACGTCCAATGAGGCGTTACTCTGCCTGGGGTCCATTTCTGGAAAAATGATAGTGATGCTTTGAAATGACGGCCGAGCAAAAATACTGACTAACACGGCGTACGTCACTATTCAGGACCTTTGACCTCCCAGAGAGCCACAGACATGCACATCTGATGTTCCCGTCTTCTCAACAATGAGGTTTGAGTGAAGGTCCGATGATCACAAAGGAGAAAACCTCACAATTATGATGATGTCACTAAACATCCTCCCTCTCTCGCTGAAGCCTCGCCGCCGTGCGCTAATCAATGAGGCAAAGACAACAGGAAGGTTGCTTTGGGACTTCTAGACAAACGAATATCAATCAACAAATGAGCTTAAATCAGTGACAAGACTCCTGCACTTGTGACCCAATAACGTTATGATGATCCATTTATTAGTCTTAAGTGATTAAAACAGGTTTAAGTGAAGATGCATTTTAGTTTTATAAGATTCTGTAATGAAAATCAGTTAAAATGTAATTTAACTAAAGAAAAAAAATGGTTAGAAAACAGTTCATTTTGTGGAAAAAGCGTCCCTTTAAAAGTCGGTTGGCATTTAAGTCAAAACGTCCGTTAGAATCATCTGAAACCAAAGATTCTTTGGACATACGTTTATGGCCGCTTAGATAAAAACACACACTGGTTCTCTTGTTCTGTGGCGACTGACAGAAACAGAGCAAAGCACTGCTAACATTTAGCACTAATTCCCCATTACTCCCC